ACTGGTTTTTTGTAATTTCCTCATCTATCTGTCGGACACAATTGTTCCAACAAATGATGGACCTACGTTACATGATCCAACTTGAATCGACATAGATCGGCCCATTAAGCTTTAGCTTTTCTATTAATATTTAAATTTATTTATGTGGCTCTTATATCTTGCATATATTTGGAACTTAATTCTATATTATTAATTATAATTATAATAATTAAATGGATTAATTAGTAATCTGATTAACATGCACGAGTTTGGTTGATTTTGTTTTCATAACTTTAATTATAGTAATTGATTAAATTAATTGTCTATTCATGTGTGAACGTATTATTTTGAATTAAATAATATCTTTCATAATAATTTCGTGATATCAGGCCTTGATTCTATATTTATATTTATAACTCAATACGTTTTATTAAAAAAATCTTTATTTTTATTGAACTTTATTACTAGTAGAATTATACAAAACCAGAATTTTAAACATTCAATTTCAATTTTCAAATTTGAAGAATTTCTTTTCAAAAATCAGATAATAATTCATATTTCAATATTAATAATAATATTATAAAACTAAAAATTAATTTATATACATCCTACTCCNNNAATTAATTTATATACATCCTACTCCCACCTCGATTTTAAATCCCTAATTTTTCATTATGTGGTTGTACACCCCTCTCTCTCTCTTCCTTCTCTCTATTAGTGTTGGCGGCATTTAGGGGATGACGTCGCCGTGGTTGCGGTGCTTGGTTGGTGTTGGTAGCGACGACGGAGTAATTCCAAGCGATTCGGCTTCTCTTTCTTTCGATATTCCTTTGTTGTGGATGGTTGGATTTGGTGATGGCGACGGTGCCGAAGTGGTTTTGTTAGATCTAGTGGTGGCGATGGTGGTTATTTCCGTTGGTGGCTGTAGTGGTGCTACTGCTGCAGCCACTATACTATGCCACAGCTGCCACGTCACACGAGTTGTTGAGATTTGTCGTGTGCCATCGTCAGGACCTGCAACTCCGAGATCTGATGTAGATTTTCGGATGTGTTTTCAGCTGGTGGATGGGGGCAATGGTGGTGGTGGTGTTTGGGGTGACGGTGACTTTGTTGGATTCAACGGTGGCGAAGGTTATGTCGAATGTGATGGGTTGTGGTTTTTTTTGTGGCAGTAGATCGGTGCAACTGTTAGCCCAAGAATAACTAACCAAGAGGGGGTGAATTGGTTATTGAAACTTTTTCGTTAATTACTCAAGATTCTAATATAGTGAATGCGCAAATATTCTAAATACAAGTAAATAAGTAAATAGAACAATAAAAGTTAGTGCGAAGTAAATGAGTTAAGTAAAAGGG